GTTCGGAGGTCACACTATATTTCCTGAAAATGCAAAGACAATACCAGTGAGTTGACAAGTATTAAAATTAAAACACAAAGCCTCACAAATACACTGGAACTCATGGAGAAGCTAACCAGAACAAAGATAGAGAAAAGTTTGTCCTTTTCAATCCCCACTAGACAGTTTCATTTATTCACTCCTCAAATCCAACCTAAGATTTGATAGTTCCTCTTTACTTACTGTCATTATAGGCATCAGGATATCCTCTGAATATCCATATCTCACTCACTAAGACAGCACTCCTGAACAACTGCTCCATTTTTCATGTTATATACTTTTCCCCTGACTGTTCTTAAGCCTTTATAAGCTCAAGTCTAACCAGGAATTCTGTGCTGTCTCCTTACCTATAGATGCTGTTCTGACAGCTTAAGAGAAAGCAAAATCTTCATGAAAAAAGTGAAGTGCTGGAAATAGTCTGGCATTTGAGGAGCCAATCAGAGAGATAAAGTTTCAGTTTGAAAGTGACCCTTTCAGAACTGAAATGAATTCTGAGAACAGGATTCTGAGACATTTTAGACTCGACACATTAACTCAGATTTTCTCTCCGGAGAGCGTTATAGAGTTGTACAGCATGGAAACAGGCTCTTCTATTCAACTCGTCCATGCCAACCAGATATCTTAAAGTAATCTAGTCCCATTTGCCAGAATTTGGCCCTAATACCTTTAAACTCTTCCTATGCATATACCCATCTAGATGCCTTTTAAATGTTGAAACTGTACCAGCCTCTGCCACTTCCTCTGGCAGTTCATTCCATACACATACCACCCTATGCATGAAAAAGTTGCCCCTTAGGTCTCTTTTAAATCTTTCCCCTCTCACTCTAAACCTATGCCCGCTCGTTTTGGACTCCCCTGCCCTGGGGAAAAGACCTTGGCTATTCACCCTATCCTTGTTCCCCATGAGAAGCCACCAGTCCTGCCAAGTGTTTCCAACGTTTCGATTTGATTTCAGATTTCCAGCTCCTGCAGCAATTTACTTTGAACAAATCTTGGCAACTGTACAACTCCCAGAAATATTCCAAAGTGTCCCAAGGAGGTTGAGTAACAATTGTTGCATATCTGGCCACTGCGTTTTAGACACAGCAATGAGATGAAAAATCTGGTTCTGATGGAAAGAGCAGTCTTGTTTAGGACATTGTGATAACACCAGTACACTTCCTCTTTGCTTTTCTTGATTGTCTGTTCTTGAAGGACTCTAGAGAGTGTTTGGATGGTCTGTCCTCACCTAGCATCCACAAATGGTTAACAGCCTAGCATGGGTCACAAATAGTGATCAAAAGCAGGAACTATATCTAAACTCTAGTACCCAGCTCAAGAGAACTGCAATTAATTGTGATATTGGAAGGGCCAAGATTTCCTTCTGCTATTTCTAGTGTAATCCCGGATTTTCTCCAGTAGAAGATTCATAATTTTGTCCCAAGCAGCAAAGATAGAAACTATCCCAATATACTTCATACATCAGCAACCAGCTAAAACCATCCCCTCCCTTTTCAAGAACTTTCTCTATCTTCATGGAGTATCTTGATCCCACTTATAATGTTGATTTAGCTGTTTCTTATGGCCTGTAAGTTTTTTTTTTGAGCTTTTTGCCAACTTGTTTGGAGAAATTTAGACAAACCTTCTTTCTTCATTTAGATAACTTCCTTTGGACCCAACAGGAACAGACCCAACTTCCTCAGGCTCTCCTTTTTAATTCCCAAAACTTGCTGCCAACTGTATTAGCCAATAAACCACACTCTCAAGGGCAATTACTTCCTCCCTTAGGTACAGTGGACGGACCACGAGCGATAAGATCTCATCAGATCATTGGAGCACTTTTAATTAGATCTATCTAGCTATGTTAACTATTTGAATATTTCTTCCTATGTGAAACAATGTACTTTATTTGGGCTGCAACAACAACAACAACAAAAACAGAAGTTGCTGGAAAATCTCAGGAGGTCTGGCAGCATCTGTGAAGAAAATATCAGTGTTAACGTTTCGGGTCCGGTGACCCTTCCTGAGAACCCAATGAGTTCACCTGACACAAAATGTTAACTCTGATTTTTTCTTCACAGATGCTGCCAGACCTGCTGTGCTTTTCCAGCAACTTTGTTTTTCAACTTTATTTGGGCCTTCGAAACCACAAAAAAAATTAAATCAGCTCCTGGTATGAAATGGTGATTGGTAAAATGAACATAATCGTCATCCAAAAGTTTAAATACTTAAATAGCCTTGTCCCCTTTGTGAGGCCAAATCTCCCTTCCTCTGACTTTAACTGTTTACAAATCTCTTATTCCTCTGCTCCATCAATGATGATCTACCTTCAGATACAAATGCTCCAAGTGATAGAATTCCCTCCCTAGATCACTTTGTTCCTCCAGCTCCTTCAGGATCTACATTAAAACCCAATTATTTGACCATGTCTTTCTTCCTCCCCTACATCCTTAGCTCCATGTCCCTTTTTTTGGAGGACATGTTTGTGAAATGATTTGGGATGGTCTCTTACGTTCGGTGTCCTATATAAGTTCAACTAATTGCTTTGAGTGAGGCTTTTATGAACTTTTTAAAACTTTATATAGACACTCTCCCCTTTTTAAACTTTGTACCTTTGTTTCTGCATTTGTTGTACGTCATATTTTATTATTTCACAGTTATTCATATATATATTATTATAAAGGTATTTTGTTAAGATTGCAGTTGACTCCTTAATGCTGATCTAGTGATTATGTTTCCATTGAAATATGTTGCAGCCGTATGCTAAAAAGCATTTAAAATTTTTGTTATGACCAAATAAGGGGTTAAAAGATGGGGAGCTGATTCCTCCTCCTCACCTGGTTATAACAGGTTAGAAATTTCGTTTTGTGTTAAATTTGCAGGAAGCCAGTACTAACCTATTCCTCTTGGATAACTATCAGCTGAGATGCAACCAGACATTAACTTTTGCAATGAGAGATCATAAAGCAATTGTTGCAGAATTTGAGTTGGGAAAGGAGAATTTTACAACTTGCTGTCGTTTAGGCAATTGTGGAATAACTTCCAAATGATGCGATGTGCAGGAGACAGAGTTGAGGATATTCTCAGAGCAGCTTACCTTTCAACAATCTTCTTGGAATAATTTCCTTGGCAGGAAACTGTCACTCATTTAGCAGTCTCAACCAGACCAGCAGTAAATTGGAAACAAAGAGAGCGCGAGAGAGAGAGGGAGAAAGACAGACAGACAGAGACAGATAGATAGCCAGACAGACATTTCTGAAGCTTATTGTTGAGGTAGAGTGGAGAGAGCTTTTATCTGCATTTATCCAGTCTACACCTGACCTGAGACTGAGAGAGCAATGTCCGAACAGGAATATGTGCCCCAAACATCTCTTACTGTCACATACATGCCACATCATTCAGTGAACAGGCTGAATTTATTAGTTGTGAGGAGCTTGGACTATGCTGTTTTTATTGGCCACCCTGACTTGGCCCACGTTAGCTGCCTTGAGGTGTTCACTTCCTGGCAATTGTTCTACAACACTGAGTGCCTTGCTAGAACTCTTCAGGTGGGCATTGGAAACCAATTGACTAGTGTCAACCATCATACCTGGTAGATATTTTTAGTCAGCCAGTTGGGCTTTCAAGGAACACCAAGGCTTGAAGGTTCCTGAGAGCTGCTCCCACTCAGATGCTGGAACTGCAAAGGAAAGCTCTAAAGGAGTTTCCAAACAATGTCTTTTCTCCTCTCCCAGAATGACCAGATATACTGAACTTGGTATCACAATTTGCCATGGAGATTTGAACTTTCAACTCTGGATTTGTTGGTCAAATAACCAAAACTTCAATAAATATTTCATTTTCAATTAGCTATGTGCCTAGCAAAAATAACGCGTGACCCAGTTATGGGGCACCAATTAGAAACAGTGAACTAGGTCATTTAGTCTCCTGGGTCAAGTTAGCATTCAGTTAGATTAGGGTGTTCTGCATCTTAATTCCAGCCAGTGTACTTTGTTTCCATTACCCTTCATACCCGATCAATGAAAGAGAAAGTGGTAACTTGGTAATGTCATTAGGCTCAAAACCCAGTGTCCTGGGTTAGTGCTCTGGGAGCTGCAGTTTATATCCCATTCCCACAGCTGCTGGTGGAATTTAAATTCAATCATAAACCTGGAATTGAAAGTTTGGTGACAACAACAATTATCACTAATTGTTGTAAAACCCCATCTCATCCGTGGATGATCATTAAACACCCTGTGAAATTGCCCAGAATGCCACTCAGTTTAAGGTCAATTCAGAATGGAAGATGGTGGGGTAGTGGTCATACCGGATCCCTGCCGTGCATAAAGAGGCCATTCAGACTATCAATTCTGCACCAACCCTCCAAAGACCCAGTCCCTGCCCTATCCCTGTAATCCCTCATGAACCATGGCTAATCCACCTAGCACATCCCTGGACACCACAGACAATTTTTTAGCCTGTACATCTTTGGACTGTGGAGGAAACCGGAGCACCTGGCAGAAACCCATGCAGACACAGGGAGAATGTGCAAACTCCACACAGACAGTCGCCCGAGGATGGAATCGAACCCAGGTCCCAGGCGCTGTGAGGCAGTACTGGACCACCGTGCCACCCACTGGACAGGGGACATGGTTTTGAATCCCACCATAGCAGATGGTGAAATTTGAATGTGAATAAAATCTGGAATGAAAGAAACAGCTGGACTAATGGATACCATGTAACCATTATCAATAGTTGTAAAAACCTAATGTTAATGCGGGAAGGAAATCTGCCATCTTTACCTGGTCTGGCCTACATGAGACTCCAGATCCACAACAAAGTGGTTCATTCTTAACTGCCTTCTGGACAATTAGGGATGGGCAATACATGCTGGACTGGCCAGTATTGCCTATGTCCCATGAATGAATGAAAATAAATGTGACAGAATGGAGAAATGTCAGGTGCAGTTCAGAACATGTCAAGAAATGAACACATATGTCCAGTTTCACAGACAAGAAGTAACTTTAATTAAATATTGTGTAAGTTGAAAAGTTTTTTACAGCTCAAATTTCTGCAAAAAATTTATAACAATCTCTACAGTAGTTTGTTTGTCTAACCATTTATCTGTACAGTGCGTCCAACAGTTCACATAAAGGAATTGGAAGGCAATCAGTTTAAATGAGACTACGGCTGATATTGGCAACTGGGAGGCATTGCTTCACATTTTCCATCACCAAGCTTTTCTTCTCATTTCAGTGTTCAAGTCTGAAGTCTCAGGTCGACTCCTTTACATATAGTCCATCACCAGCGCTTACTCAATAGCTGATATCAAACATGTATGCACGAGTTCAGCCGAGGAGACTGAAAAGAGGTTTGGACAAGGACAGTTTATCACTTGGTCAAAAACGACAACTCTTTTTTTATTCCATTTCCCAAGCATCAGCTTTTGCTTGTTCTCATTCATTCCCCTAAGAAAAATCCTCAATTTCTTCTCTTTGTTTTGTTTCTCACTTGGCAAGTGAGACTCCAGTGTCCTTGTAAAGCCTTTGTAATATTAGACTGGGAGCTTGACATGACTGTAGCACTTGTCGCACCCTGTGTGGGTCATATGGCAACAAAAGAGGTACATTTCTTAGGGTAACAAAACAGTTAAAATTGTGCTTTTCTTTTAGAAAACAAACACAAATTCCTCATTTTAACAATACTTAACTGTACGATTTCCCTTTCTTAATTTTTATTTTTGAAAATTCAGGTTCGGGTACCTGAAACGAATAAGCTTTGCATTGTTAAGGCATCCGAACTGCTGGTTTATAGAATTTTGATTAATGTCAAAAAGAGGGAGAGAGAGAGAGCGCGCAAGAGAGAGAGAGAAATACAAGCAGGTGAAAATTTTATTTTAAATGATATTTTTCTTCCTTGTATTAATGCAGAAAGGAAGTGGCCATCGCCCAGAGTGGAGAGGTTACCCCATGCACATTACTATACTTAAAACAGCGCTATCTTTCAGAAGCTGAAGGAAAACAAAAATTTTACCATATTAAAATCTACAGAAGTAAATGCTATTGAATAAGATGCTGCTTTTCTCTGCCACATAATTTTTTAAAAAAACTTGACGATTCAGTTCAACTTACAAAAAAAAATATAAAAATAGACGATGGCTTTTTTTCTGACATGACTTCTTTTAAAAAAAGAGGATGATCCAAATCAATACTTAGCACAATATCGACTCAATTGAAAAGAAATGTAATATGATATATTTATATATATATAAAACGCGAACAAAAACTTTTAAATCACATTTAACAAGTTCTTACTCAGGTACAATTGTAAATGGCTTAGTCTGTTGACACCTCCCATGTCTTAGCATACTTACATATTAAAATTAACCCAGGGAATAAACAAATAGAGGAAAAAAAACACAATCCAAACAAAGCAATGTACAAATTTCCAGAGATAAATACATTATTTATAAGCATATTTTACAAAAAAAAACACAAATCTCATTTTTAAACCAATACATGTTTAATTACGCAAGGATGTGCAAGCAAATGAAAGAAATGAATAGTAGTGAACTCCTTGCAGTAACGAAAAATGGGACGGAAAGAAAATACGTTTATGTAATAAAATTCCTTGTTAATATTGGAAATTGTATTTAAGACATTGAAATGTATAAATATTTAAACAACAACTTTGGCAAAAGAAAAATTCACAAAAAATCTACAATATTTATAACTACATACAAACACAATATAGCGGAAAATTATTGGATAATGCATCATCAGACCTCTGATGGATCCTTGATAAAGTACATTAAGAGCATTCTCAATACAGTGCTAACAAAATAGCAATTTTCAAAAAAAAAAAAAAACTCCCCCTTCATGTTTTGTCTCCACACAGCACTGGTACTTTTGATTCTGTCTACCTTTCAACCCCTGCAAATACAGCAGCTAAATCTATATTGCGTGTTCCAAAGTCCTTCACAATGTACAAACCCTTTTTTAAATGAAGTGCTGGTTGTATTATCCATAGTTGCATCTTGTATTCCCAATTTTGTTCTTTTCAGGAAAGAAACAAGACAATGGACCCCTACCAAAGCCATGGCTTGGGCAATGGGTTGGGCACGGCAATAGCTGGCTGGCATTGGTATTGGCAACACAATGAAGAAAGTGTAAAGAAAAATCCAAAATTACCAGCTGATGCTGTTCCTTCATGCCTCCCCTCTTTCCCCACCCTTAAGGGACAGATATGAGTGACTGAGGCCATCCAACCAGGGCCAGCACATCCATTCGGAAAGGACCTACAGTTCCAACCCCTCATATCACAGCATCTAACTGCTCCTGAAATAGCTCCAGGCTCTTCTTTTGCCTTTTGCTCTGTCCCACAAGTCAGTTTATTGTTAAATTTCCACAATGTCAACCATCATCATTAAAACTTGTAGGTTCTCTGCGTGTTAATCCTAAGTCCTGTTTTGGGTTTCTTTTCTATCTACAGTTCAACCAGCCCGCAAGCAGAGGATTCGCCTATAAAACAGCATTAGCACTGTAACAGTTGATGCTGAATTTGGACACAGTTATATCCAGACTCAACATCTTTCAATCCATTTACAGTTAAAAACCGCACTGGCAATTCTACTGGTTGTAACCAACTATCACACTCTAAACTCTCTACGTTTTTTCCACCTAATAATTATCGCTACTCAGTTCATCCACCTTCAAATACTTTTTAATTTCTCTCAGTCAAATCTTTATAAATTAAGCATCACATTCTGTTACAGCGTTCCTTCCAGAACTTTCCGACTCTAAAAGGCATTTTTTTTTTTTTAGTTGAAATGAATAAATTGGGTTTAAGCATTTGGAAAAAAGTGAACATTCGTCAACATAGAACAAACAATTTTTTTTTAAGTTTTCCCACTCAAATATATGGGACCTAATGTGTAAATTGCCACCATGCATTCAATTCATCAGAATTGGCAAGGTTGAAGGTTTTACAAAGTGTTACTGTGATTGTTTAACTCTACACAATCCCTCTCTGAAAGGCCTGAGTTAAAAGTTCCATTCGTCTGTGGGACTTGCATCTCATCTCCTCACGGAGCACAAAATTCATCGCATTGTCAGCATATAGATGCAGTCTTCAAGGCATGGGATCTATCTACATTGGAGGAACTATCATGCCGGATATAGCTGTAAAACATAAATGGGAAAAAGCAACTTTTATTCAAAAGAGAAACACACAGTCAGAACTTAAGACGACAAACTTGGAAGAACGTGTTGAAATTGGCTTATTTTCACTTTTCTCCTTCTCCGTGCTGCTACACTGAACTGTATCTGGTTACCATTCCCTACAAACCATCTCACGAGTGAGTGCTCGTGGTCCATTCAACACCATTTAATGTTCCACCCTCCATGCCTGATCTATGTGGGGAACAGAGACAGCTGAGCAATAGGCTACCAGCAGCTACAAGATGAATGATCTGTAGCTTTGATTCCTCCAGTTGCAATTGGTTGAGGTGAGATGATAGGCAGCAAAATTCCGTGGTGTTCTTAAGATACAGTTTGAGCTACTGCAAGAGGATGTATGGTCCTTAGTTAAACTGCTTTTCGCAAGCAAAGCAGAATGAAGTGACCCCTTGGAACCCAACTGGAACTAAACTGGACACTCAAACTGCCTCCCTTCTGTCACAGTTATTCCGCCAGGATGATTTATTCCCCAAAGTGCTGAAAAATAGACTGCACTCAACAAGTTTTGTTACAACACAGCGTCAAATGATGTGTTGAGTCACAAAGTATTACTTTGCAAAAGGGCACCACTCAGCCCATCATGCCTGCTCCGGTTATATTACCTAGTGCCAACTTCTTGCCTTTTCCTCATAGGCCTGCACACCATTACTATCCATAATAATCATCCAATGCCTTTTTGAATGCTCAACTGACTATTCTTCCCACCGCCCCCCCCCCCACCTTTCACTCATTGTGTGAATGAAACAAAACATGAATTAAAACTCTGTTCTGTGACACTTCCAAGTAAAGATGCCTGCAAGTGGAAAACCAAAAGGACTATTAATGAACCAGAAAATCACGTTCCGCTACTATTAATAATTGTGTCCTGTTTCCTGGTGTCCATTTCGATGAGAGAGCTATTAAAAAGGCAAAATCAAAGCACCAGCAAATTTATTTAATCTAGTTATTACTATGAGATATAAGGCAGCATCATGTAAGCATGTGCAGTGTTTTACTGAACCATAGATGAACAAGTTCATCTGTTCAATTGGATGGTCTCAGTCAAAGCGGTAACTGGCCTATAGTGGTTTTTGTCAGGGTTCATCCCAAGCAGCTTCGTAACACAGGACTCTGTGCTCTGTTCCCCGGGGCACACACCGAGACAAACATCAATGGCACCTGAAGGATTGTCAACGTAGTGGAAGATGCTCTTTTGTCCGCCTGAAACCTGTTGGTCTTCCAGAGCAAGGAGTTGACTTCGAGTGTTACAGACTGGCACATTCCAAGCACCAGAACCACTTGCCGAGGGACGCACTAAGGCTTGGATCAGCTGCCACCCTCTAAGGTCTATGTGCCAAAGTTAAATGGGGGCCAGTTCAGTCATTGGACCCCCCACCCCCTAATACCTCAAATGGAGGTAAATATAGTCTTGCATAAGCAAAAGAATGCCTTTGGTTTGTCAACTGCTTTATGAAGAAATGATTGGTTCATAGAATCCCTACAGTGTGGAAACAGGCCCTTTGGTCCAAAAAGTCCACACCGACCCTCAGACATCCCACCCAGACCCATCCCCCTATAATCCACCTAACCTACACATCCCTGAACACTATGGACAATTTAGCATGGCCAATCCACCCTAACCTGCACATCTTTGGACTGTGGGAGGAAACCGGAGCACCCGGAGGAAACCACGCAGACACGGGGAAAACGTGCAAACTCCACACAGACAGTTGCCCGAGGATGGAATCGAACCCAGGTTCCTGGCGCTGTGAGGCAACAGTACTAACCACTGAGCCACCGTGGCACCCCTTCACAGACGCCATCCCCTCAATCCTCACAATTAACACGCCTGACACTCACTGGCGAGGCTCAAACAGGACAAATGGTGAGTCGGGTAAGTCAGGGAAAAGCCTGTTCAGGAGAGGAAAGGAGGCATTTTTCAAGAAAAAAAGATGTAACAATAATAATCCACATCAGAATAGAGGCAGACGTCAGGGAGCCTGCTGAAGTGTCACAGAGTGTGTTAAATCTGTGCCTTCTTTTTTCAAACCTATTCGACTTCAAAACCAGGCAACAGTTTGGATCAGAGATAGTAGGCTCAACTATATTCTGAACCAGCATTCTGAGGGGCACACAAAAGCTTGGGGCAGCTGCCATCAAGGCGCAGTGGGGAAAGACCACTGTCTAAGGTCTTTCTGACAAAGTTAAATGGCAGTCCATTCAGTTAACGGATCCTCCCGATGCCTTACATGAATGTAAATATAATCTCATATAAGCAAGAAATGCCTCTAAAAGATTTCCTCCACTGTTTTAAAGAACCAGATGCCTTATACCCATTGATTCGCTGTGAACTTGCTGTGCCAATGTCCGGGGGTCAATGGGAACCGAGTCCGGAAACAAGCTGGGGCATTTACTCCTGAGGGAACTGGCCTTGGTGACAGCTGAGAAACAGAGTGTCCAAATGACAGAACCTGCCCAAATCCCATCAGTGACATCCAGCAGCCTGATGTTCTTTGGTCTGCAGCTGTAGCTCCTTCCTCACACCACCTCCCTAGCTTTTGGCATCTGATATTTGTTTATCACTGTAGCTCTATCACAATCTCCCATCTCACAGCTCTGGTGGCCCGCAGACGTCAGAGAACGGGAAGGAGCTTTTTTTCTGTCTAGTTCTCACCCCCCTTCCTAATTTAGTGGAAGTGCAATTAGAAATGGCAGCAGAAAGAGATGGCAACAGGGCAGTTTAAAAACTTGCTACACATTGTTTCTGGGTGCAGTTCCTACTAATTGAAGGACAGCGGAAGCTCTCCAGCCTATTAAATTGTTAAAACATCCTACTTTTGTGACGCATCTCGGCTCATTTCACTCCGCAATGAACGCATTGTTTCTGAGGAAAGTTCACTGCTAAAGACTGACTGCTTTCTCCCCTCTCACACGTACTTGTCCAATTTCCTGATCACAGCTTCAGCTGCAGTAATTGAAAACACCTTTTAACTGGAGGTACTCTTTGCCAGGGATGGTCAATGCAGGAGAAAAGGAAAGGCATTGACCCATCTATTTGTCCCACAAGGGCTCAGCGACAGTGACCGTGTTCGATGTATCCAGTGGTATGCTTGGGAGCTACAGAATCATAGAATCCCTGCAGCACAGAAGCAGGCCATTCGGCCCAAACAGCCTCCCACCAGACACCACCCCCCTTCCCTATACCTGTAACCCTGCATTTCCTATGGTTAATCCACCTAACCTCCACATCCCTGGACACTACGGGCAATTTAACATGGCCAATTCACCCTAACCTGCACATATTTGGCCTGTGGGAGCACCCAGAGGAAACCCACGCAGTCGTGGCAAGAACGTGTAAACGCCACACAGATAGTTGTTTGAGGGTGGAATTGAATCTGGGTCCCTGGCGCTGTGAGGCAACAGTGCTATCAACAGTTCTGAGGAAGGGTCAGCGAATCTGAAACGTTAACTCTTGTTTTTTTCCTTCACAGATGCTGCCAGACCTGCTGAGCTTTTCCAGCAATTTCTATTTGGTTTCCTAACCACTGAGCCATTGTGCTGCCTCATCCTGTACAGAGTGGGACTTGCTGAGAGGTTGGCATTCCAATTCTGTCTGGGCTACCTGTGACTTTTTGACTGTGGAAGCAAAGACCAAGCCACTGATTCAACAGAAACAGACTCTCCAGCCTATGACCATGTTGAAAGTTGCCCGACCTCTTTAAGCACTCAGTGATCCTTTTGGGACTGTTCATAACAGGTGAAATGCATTGTCCTACATCTAAGAAGTGCCCACTCATTATCCCTAATGGACTTGAGCCAACAGGTCTGCGAATGGGATTGGCTTGGAGAGCCCAGCATTCAAAGTACACCCTTTATCCACTGGTGTGACCAATCCTGGGAGAAAACTCATCAAACCTTGAAAATGGGAAATCTTTGCCCAAAGCCACCTCCCTTTATCAGTTACGGGGATGTTGCGACTTGGGTGACTTTCAGGGAAGGCTAGTCCAGCAGGTGAGTTTTTAATCGCTTTGCGAATTTCAACAGGAAAGTGATACACTGTGAGGACAGACATGGAAAAACAAAGAAACCAGGAGCAGGAGTAGGCCATTCAGGCCTTTGAACCTGGTCCAGCATTCCGAATGATCATGGCTGATCCTCTATCTCATTCCTGCTTTCTTCCCATGCTCTCTGATGTCATTAAAATCTTGAAATCTAGCAATCTCTCTCTTGAAAGCATTCAGCAATTTGGTCTTCACAGCCTTCTGTGGTAGAGAATTCTACAGGTTCCACTGCCCTTTCAATGAGGAAATGTTTCCTCATCTCAGTCCAAAATAGTCTACCCTGTATCATGTTCCTTGGCTCTCGACTCTCCAACCAGGGCAAACTTCCTTCCAGCATCTAGTATGTCCAGCCCTGTTGGAATTTTATATGTTTCAACCAGGTCCCCTCTCATCCTTCTAAACTTTAGTGAATACAGGCCCAGATGAATCCATCTCTCCTCACAGGACACTCCTGCCATCCCTGGTATCAGCCTTAGAGTGTAGCAGTGGGTCATGTACCTATATGTTGGAAAATCAATGGTGGAAAGTGGGTAGTGGGAAAGAGTGCGCAGCAGTAAATCATGCAGTCAAACTACTCAGAAAATACCCAATCAGAGATGGTCAATATGCTTCAGTTATCTTTGGTCTTGATCTGAGTTAGGGAGAGGAAGGAATGTGGGTTAGGGTTAGGGCTGTGAGGGATTTCAGGGGAGATGAGGATCAGATCTGAACATTCAGGTGATACAATGCAGCGGAAATGTGTTCCTTCCTTCTCTCGGTTCAGGAATGAACCAGTCCATTCTCAGCCCTTATGGCTGAGGAGTGGGGAGGTGGCGAAACGGAGTCAGAAATTCGTCTTCCTGAAAGAGCTCTGGGAAATGGGCCCTTCTGTTTGCTGGTAGGGCATCTCTCTATCACAGCCTC